GGACAAACACCGGGCTTCAAAAAGTATATATTTATGTTTGATTTCAGCTCCAGGTAGTGAACTATTACTTTGCTTATCTCTGTTCCCGCCACAGCACATTGCTTATCAGGAGCCGCACACTTTGGGAGACGGGAGAGATGCGGTGGAAAAGGTTAATGCGTCCCATCAGCCCTGCGTGGCAGCGGTGCGCACTCGAGCTTGTGCGCGCTCCTCCTGCAAACCGGAGATGCCCGCGGCCTGGGACGCGGACTCTAGGTGTCCCGCAGAGGGGGGCACAGCATTCACACATTGGCTGGGAAGTAGAGGAGGGCAGCCCAGCGGGTCCACGGGGTGGGGGTGGGACAGAGCGCTGCGCCGGGGGGTGGGGCTCTGACCTGCGTGTGGCCCGGCAGCTCTGCTTAGGGAAAACCAGCAACACCTTCTGAGGTCTTTGCTCCTGCACTTACTTATTCATCCTCCCAGAACTTTCTTGTACAGTAAGAGAACAGCGGGGCAGAGTACACGAGAGTAGAGCTCAGCTCATCTGATGGTCTGCCCACACCCGCTGACTCACTCATAATGGCCCCTCAGATGTCAGTTTCTTGCTAAGACATTTGGAAAAATTTCTGCTTCTGAATCACAAGCAAACACTATAATTCAACAATCTTCTCTGAGTTATTCAAGGAACTTTGGTGCACTCAGAAGTAGAAGAATCAGGGGCGGATGAAATCAATGAAATCTCTGAGTCCTCTGTTTTTCTCGTAATTATATTTCATTTGCCCAGTGGAGGTGGGGGAGCTCCGTCTGACCACTGAGGGACAGCTCCTGGGGGAAGTCTGCAAGCAGCCGATTTCGGGTTTCTGGGTGACACTTGGTTTTCCTTATCATCTTCCTCCTGTTCCCATAATAGAGCCAAGTGTTGTGCAGGAAAAGGCTCGCTCCCACCGTCTTCTCATAGACGGACGGCCACAGCCCGCCAGGGGAGAGACGGTGTTTCTGCAAAGGGTGAGCCTGGTTGTCCTTCTTCCTCACCCCGGTGTCCTCATCATGCAGCATCATGCCCACTCAGGGAAGCTCTCGCTCCTGCCCTCTGCCTTCTTGGGCAGTGCTCACTAAATCAGCCCTGAGCACTCATTCCCAACCTGCCTCTGCCACGGTCCTTCCTCGTGGAGAGAAAAGGAGTTTACCTCTCATCACAGACGGCCGCCTCTAATTCCTTGTTGCAGTTCAGGGTTGCGGTCACCAGCCTGGCTGAGAACAGACCCTGAGGAAGGCCGGTCTCTCAAGGGACAGTTTACCTGCTCCCCGGAAAGGGACCATTTCTCTGGGTCTAGGAAAGGCACGTACCTCCGGCACTGCCCTGGCTTGTGCTAGTTGGCAGGCAGAGGAGAGCTCCTTCCTCCGGGGAGCAGGTCCCTTGGTAAATGAGGACAACAGACTAGAGATGGTGTGGACCCATTCCTTGCCCCTCTGCTCTGTCCACACAGTTCCGATGCCCGAGCACAGCGCTCTGGGCTCTGACACACGGTAGGTTCCTAGGTATCCAGTGAGTGGGGCTGTCCACACATCTGCTTCCGTCCTGCAAAGCCCATGTGAAAAACACTGCCTGCAAAGGGGTATCGGGGGCTCACCCCTGGCATGCTCTGTCTTCCCAGCAAGCCTGAGACTCAGGGCCATCATCTCATTTGACAGCTGGGAAAATTCAAGTTTCCGGAGGAGGTGGACCTCCCTGAGTGGCTGGGGCTGCTAAGCCTCCTTGACCAGACCTGTCCCGCCCCTCACAGTGGACAGCCACCCAGACTGAGTCAACATTGCCCGTGGAGCCGGGAATCAAAGCAAACAGGGTTCCTCTCCTCTCTTCCCCCTCCACCTTTTTTTTTTTTTTTTTCCCCAACTGCCCCATTAACAGAAAAACCTTTTAAGCGCCCATCTGGAAATCTGGCCCTTTCCCTCCCTGAGCAAACTAAGATGACCAAGAGGAATGTGCTCCAGGGTGGAGGTTTGGCAGGGGCTGTGGGGACCCCCAACACACTAGATCCCACTCATACAGCAAAGAATGAACACAGGAAGGTCAAAAATGCCCCTTTCAGCAGCCCAGCCAGCCGCGGCTCCCGGTAAGAGCTCACGCCGTCGCCCCATCTGCAGTCCGTTCCCGACATCCAGCTTTCTTGGAACAGTTTATACCTTCAGCCTGGACCTCCTCTTAGGGGCCAGAGAAAAAAGTCCTCAGGCACCATGCCCCCCCGCCCCCCCGTCAGGGCACACTCGTGAATAAATACATTCTTGGCTTTAAGAAAACTTGCCACCCTGAGCAAGGCTGCTCGGCCCGGCGCAGCTACGGGTGCGCACCCAGCAATTCCCCGAGGCCCTCTCCTGTATCAGGCACTTTGGGGACGCAAAGGTGAAAGGACACGGGCAGCTCCCGGGCCTCGGGGAGAGAAGGCGTGAGGATTCGTAATTAGCAAACACGGGGAGCCCCGTGCGGTAGTTGTAAACTAGGTTCTGGCACCAGCCCGGGGCTCCCACCCGGGATCTGACAAGCCGGGCGGTGGGGGTGCCGGGAGGGAAGGTGAGGGGCCAGAGGGAAGGCAAAGAGGCGGAGGTCGGGGTGGGGTGAGGGGGTTACTGTCATGGAAGCTGAAAGGTTTATTCTGTGTATGTATTTATTTAACTTGTGAAAAAAAAATCCTGCTAGGTACATGCACATTTCTTCCTCTTGAATTGACACTTTCTTCTCTTTAAGGTCGTGGTGGGGTGGGGTGGGGTGGGGGTTTGGACCAGAAGCAGGTGTAATCATGTGGTCATTCAGATTGGAGTAGAAAAACATTCCAAACTCAGAGATGTTGCGAGAGTATCAGTCTCGCACTGCGTTTGCAAAGATGCACCAATTGTTACCATTTTGCCACAAGATGCACCAATTATTAACATTTTGCCGCATTCGCTTAACCCGTCTCTCCACATTCATCACATTGTTACTGTTCTTGCCCAACGGTTTGCCAGCAAGCTGCGGGCAAGGGGACTGTTGACCCTGAATATTTCCTACTATCTCTTGAAAAGAAGAATTTCCACTTGTGTAACCCAGCCATGATCAAATTCAGGAAATACGATGTGGATACAATGTGATTATTTAATCCACAAGATCTATGCTCAAATTTCGCAGCTGTCTTGGTCGTGTCCCATATGACAACTTCTACCCTGGTTGTGTCCCCGACCCAGGCTCACATGGAGCTCTCGTTCTGCATGTGGCCCATGAGGTCACTGGACAGTGGACAGGAGCAGCCCTGGGCTGGCGCCCACGGGACAAAGTCCTTCCTCCCCACGTTGGTTTTCTCCTGCAGGAACACTCCAGCGCCTTTCACTCTGTACCTGAACTCCTTTGGGAAAAGTGGAGGCTCTTTTCCAGTAAAAAGGCTACTACAGAGCAGTTAGTGACTTTCCGGTCTGGATCACTGACCTCCCATCCTGGGCCTCACCAGGCCTGTGGAAAGTGCACGGGGTTTAGGAGCTGCCTGTCATTCAGGGTGATGATGGGCAGGGCGGACCCCTCAGCCGCCTCACCCGTCCGTTCAGTCAGAGTCAGGGGAGGGAGCGCCCAGGGACTCAGGTCCGAGTGCCTGCAGTCCTGCCTTGGAATCCACACCCTGGGGGCCCGTGTCCCGTCAGTCTCCTTCATTTCCATATCCCTGGCTCCCAGTGTGTGCTCGGCACACAGCAGGTGCCTATCTGGAGCTGTTCCGAGGGTGGGGGCCCAGGGAGCTTGGCAAACACTGGAGAGAGGCCTGGAGAAGCAGGTGCCTGTTGGGGCAGGGGGAGAGCCACGCTGGTGCGAAGGTGCAGGCAGCTGGCCCCAAACCTGTTGACGGCCCAGAGTGGAGGCATCGGGGGCCCTGACAGCACCGGCTTTCTGAGGACCAAAGTCCGGGAAAGGGGCTGGAGGGGAAGTGCGGGGCCACGCTGGGAAAGGCCTTGAAGGTGAGCCGTGGAGTTGAGATTGTCTCTTGACAGCTTTCTTCCCCAATGCTGAAGAATCACACGTGCCTTTACAACTTTGGCCAAGTTCAAAGGAAACTTTCTCTCATTAACATTTTACTATTATATTGGGGCGCCTGGGTGGCTCAGTGGGTTAAAGCCTCTGCCTTCGGCTCAGGTCATGATCCCAGAGTCCTGGGATCGAGCCCCGCATCGGGCTCTCTGCTCAGCAGGGAGCCTGCTTTCTCCTCTCTCTCCCTCTGCCTGCCTCTCTGCCTACTTGTGATCTCTGTCTGTGAAATAAATAAATTAAAAAAAAAAATCTTAACATTTTACTATTATAAATACTAATTTTTTTTCCCTGTTAACATGAAAGTAGACAACATAAAAATAAAAACTGTCCACCCATGTTCCCCCAGAGGACAGCTCAGTGCTACCAGTGACCGTGAGACCACCCCTCAGGAAACAGAGTTGAAGACACGGGAGCCATGGCCGGGTCTAAAGTGGGGAGGGATGTCTCTCACAGGCCGTGTGACGATGAAGTCACTTCACGCGTTGGGATGTCATGGCCTCATCTGTCAGCCAGTGAGTTTAGACAGAGGGTTCCTAATAACACAACTGGCCGGCTCAGGGAGCGCTCTCTGGAGGTGGTCCTGTCACCCCACGAGCTGGGAGCTGTGGCTTGGTTGTCACGCCATGAGCCCCATCATCTGGGAGTCCCGAGCCGATGCTGGAGCCCAGAGTCTGCCGCAGCACACCTGGTGTGAGACCTCCAGGCTCTGTGCATAGAGGCAGCCTTTGGTCTTGAAGTCTAGGAAGTGACTAGGCAATAATCTGTATTGGGAGAGGAAGAGACACCCCTTCACCAGGGTGACAGGCAGAGAGCAGAAGAGAGCAGAGGCTGGGCCTCTGGGTGGTGGACACACCCTTGGGTCAGTTCCACTGGGACCAGCTTGCTCAGCTGGTCCCTTCACTGCGGTGACCAGAGTCGAGTTGGGCTCCCACCGGCCAAGGGCGGCTCTCCCAGAGACTGACGGTTCGTGAAGACCTTACACTTGGACGCAAGGATGCGTGAAATCGTACACATTCAGATCGGCCAGTGCGGGAACCAGATCGGAGCCAAGGTAAGGAAAGTGTGATTACTAGGTCTAGCTTTCTTACGGTCCCTGGGGGCAGCCAGCTAAGAACACATCCACAGTCAGCGGGGAGGGCGGCAGGCCCAGGAGATCGCATGCACTCGCTGAACACTTGGCTTCGTTGACCGATGGCCACGGTGAAGGAGACGCAGGAGGTGGCACAGGCTACAAGGGTTAACCGAATTCATGTCAGTTTTATCGCCATGCCACCTAGGCCACGTACGGGGGAACCTTGTTTACTTTCACAACCTTAACAATGAACTTTCATATCGAAAGGTGGTAGTTTGTCCCAAAACAGTTTCCTAAAGTTTGTTGGGCAACTTAAAAAAAAAAAAATTTATTTATTTATTTATTTATTTGACAGAGAGAGATCACAAGTAGGCAGAGAGGCAGGCAGAGAGAGAGGAGGAAGCAGGCTCTCCGCTGAGCAGAGAGCCCGATGCGGGGCTCGATCCCAGGACCCTGCGATCATGACCTGAGCCACCCAGGCACCCCTATTGGGCAACTTTTTACATGATATCGCTAAGATGCCTTTCCATCGCCTCCCTTGTTTATGTTACAAAGTTTGAAGAGATCCACATCTGTCCCACTCAGTAAGCTATCAGAGACTAAAGAGCTAACTCTAAACGTTTTAGGGTGTAGTCACCAAAATAATGAATATGCGCTCTCTGGAATATACATGAGTGTGTCTCCTCCCCACCCAAATTTTTGTACACGGTGCCGGATTCAGCGGCTGACACAGCCCAACAGATCTCCTACCCAAATTTCAACCCTAGTTTTACACACTTGTACTGTGTTAACAGCCATCTGATGGTTCCCTTTGCCATTTCAAAATTTCACTAGTAGGAACGGCATTACAAATGCAATTGCACTGGGGCACCTGGGTGGCTCAGTCGGTGAGCATCCGACTCTTGGTTTTGACTCAGGTCATGATCTCATGGGTCATGGGATGGAGCCCTACATGGGCTCTGCACTCGGCAGGGAATCTGCTTGAAACCTTCTTTCCCTCTGCCCTCCCCCCGCCCCGACTCTTGCTCTCTAAAGTAAATAAATACAAACAAATAAATACATCTTTAAAAAGTTGTAATTGCATTAAATTTAATTAAAGTTAAAGTTAACAGTTAAATTTTTTAAAGGTTTTTTTTTTTTTGAAGATTTAATTTATTTATTTGACAGAAAGAGATCACAAATAGGCAGAGAGAGAGGAGGGAGCAGGCTCCCTGCTGAGCAGACAGCCCGACGCAGGGCTCGATCCCAGGACCCTGGGATCATGACCTGAGCCGAAGGCAGAGGCTTTAACCCACTGAGCCACCCAGGCGCCCCAATAGATAAATCTTTAAAAAATTATATTTTAAAAATTGTGGTGAAACAACAGCATAAAATTCATCGCCTTCGTCATTTTTTAGTGTACAGTTCAATACTGTTAAGTATCTTCACAATGTTCTGCATCCAGTCTCCAAAATGCCTTTCCTTTTGCAAAATTGAAACTCTGTCCCCATTAAATACTAACTCTCCATTCCCCCCCACACACATAGCCCTTAGCACCCATCCTTCTACTGTCTAAGAATTTGAATTTTTAAAAAATTTATTTACTTATTTAGAGAGTGTGAGTGGAAGGTGGGGCTGTGGGGGGAAAGGCAGAGGGAGAGAGAAGCTCCAGCAGGCTCCAGGTCCAGCCCAGAGCCCAACACGGGGCTCTATCCCATGACCCCAAGATCATGACCTGAGCCAAAATCAAAAGTCAAATGCCCAACCTACTCAGCCACCCAGGGACCCCCGAATCTGAACTCTTCTAGGGGCCTCATAGAAGTGACATCACACAGTATCTGCCCTTCTGTGTCTGGCTTGTGTCACTGAGCATTATGTCCTCAAGGCTCAGCCACACTGCAGCCTGTGTCCAGATGCCCGTCCTTTTCACGGCTGAGTAACAGTCCATTGCGAGGACAGGCCACACTTTGTTTATCCACGCATCTGTCAGTGGACACATGGGTTGTTTCCAACTTTCAGCTATTGGGAATAAGGCGGCTTTGAAAAACTAGTCTAAAAAACTAAAACTAGGTGTTTAAGACCTGGGGCAAAGAATATCACTGCTTGAAAAGAAGTTGCTGTCTTTCTGAGCTGCGGTGATGAGATGTTCCTAAGTGGAACACAGAGAGAAGTGGGAGGCACCAGCCCCGGCACTCTGAAGTGGGAAGATAATCGGGAGGGAGGCGTGGGAGAGGAAGTGCAGCGTCCAGATAGGGTCTTAGCTTTTCCTCTGGCATCCTGTTGTCTGGTCCTTAGAGCCCTGGTGACTTATTATTTGGGGCCATAAGAACTGTGAGAGACATTTAGTTTGTGGTGTTAGAGAACTTATTCTTTTTTTTTTAAAGAGGATTTTTAAAAAAAGATTCTATTTATTCACTTGATAGAAGACACAGTGAGAGAGGCAACATAAGCATGGGGAGTGGGAGATGGAGAAGCAGGCTCCCTGCTGAGCAGGGAGCCCAATGCGGGGCTCGATCCGGGACCCTGGGATCATGACCCGAGCCGAAGGCAGACACTTAACGACCGAGCCACCCAGGTGCCCCAAATTTATTCTTTCAGATCCTGAACAGTGCTGGTAATTTACTATAAAATAGAGTCTGGTTAATGAGACCATGGCCAGAGCAGGGCCATCACTTCTAAGATATGGCTGGGAAAACACCCTGGGGGATTTTAACATAAATGAATATATTTTCATTGCACTTGAATATGTCCTTCTCTAGGGCAATGGAAGGGGCCATCTCAGAAACTGTTTCCATGTTAAGAGCTGTGCACACAGCTGTGTTAATAAATACTGTATGTGTGACTGAATGTGTCATACGTTCCCAACAGTCGGAAGAGCTGTGTATCATCGGACTTGTGTGCCGACCTGATCATGAAAAACGCACGTGGCTAAAACCTGGGCCCGGATGTCCCAGTTATGGGCTTTTTGGAAAACTGCATGAAAATAAATCCCCAAGTGAAGGAGATATTATTGTGAGATCAGATAAGAATTCAGTCTGTTTTCATTTAACGGGACCTATACTGTACTAGCTTGAAGCACTAGAAGGAGAAATTAGAGACACCCGGTCTGATGCGAGTTGTAAAACGACAGCTTTAATGTCTACCACAGCCTCCATTTAGTAGGAGCAAAATCCAATTTAATATTTGGTGTGTTGGCATTTTATTTAAGGCATTCAGGTGGGTATAAAACACAGTCCTCATGTTCATGTTTACTGGCAGCCAGAGCACGTTACCGCGTGGAGCGGGCACTGACAAATCGGGCCTGAAGGCGCGTCTGGGGAAGGGGCGGTCAGAGGGACCCCTCGGGGCAGGCCCAGCAGCCCTCCCTTCCTGTCGCTCCGGTCAATCCGCTGGCTCACGGGTACCCTCCTGCCCCTTTCCGGGGTCCCTCCGTACACGGACCTCCCCTCCTGCTGCTTTCAGTTCTGGGAGGTGATTGGCGAGGAGCACGGGATCGACGTGGCCGGGAGCTACTGCGGGGACTGTGCCTTGCAGCTGGAGAGGATCAGCGTGTACTACAACGAGGCCCATGGTAGGACGCGGTGCTCTGCTGGCGGTGCTCGCCTGCCCCGGGAGCCCGGGCGGGGTGAGGTCCAGGAGGTACAGCGGGATCCTAAGACTGGCGGGTCCCCGGGGCCGGTGTGGGGCAAGGGCCCGGGGAAGAAGGCACTGAGTGGTTTAGATACATGTCTTAACCCCCGCTGCCCAAGCACCAACCTTCCTGTTTAGATGAAAATCTTAAATGAAAACTGGCATCACTTCGAGCGGAGGCAGGGTCTCGGTCGTTGGCGAGACAACACAGCAGCACGGAAACTGATGGATAACGTATTTCCAAAGTATCTTACAGATCTGTGCACTTGTTGGGGTCAAGGGTACTACTTCAGATGTCTTTCTTCTAGAAATACCTTTCTCCCGACAGGGATCACAAGGTTCTGTTTTGATGAAACATTAACTTCTAGAAAAACACCAGTTTGCTGACTTCTTCCTACTTTTCTATACAGGTAAGAAGTATGTGCCGCGGGCGCTGCTGGTGGACCTGGAGCCCGGGACGATGGACAGCATCCGATCCAGCAAACTGGGAGCTCTCTTCCATCCGGACAGCTTCATCTACGGTAGGCTGTCCCGGCAGGGGTCCCTCGGGAGGAGGGGCGGGTGCCTCCTCGTGGTACCCCCCCCACCCCGCCCCCACCAGCCCGGTAAGCGGCCTCCCTCGGCGCAGGTAACTCTGGGGCCGGCAACAACTGGGCCAAGGGCCACTACACGGAGGGCGCCGAGCTGGCCGAGCGCGTGCTGGACGCCGTGCGCAGCGCCAGCGAGGCCTGCGACTGCCTGCAGGGCTTCCAGCTGGTGCACTCGCTGGGCGGCGGCACGGGGTCCGGGATGGGCACGCTGCTGCTGAGCAGGATCCGCGAGGACTTCCCCGACCGCATCGTGAACGCCTTCAGCGTGCTGCCGTCGCCCAAGGTGTCCGACACGGTGGTGGAGCCCTACAACGCCGCGCTGTCCCTGCCGCCGCTGGCGCAGCACGCCGACGCCTGCTTCTGCATCGACAACGAGGCGCTCTACGACATCTGCCTGCGCACGCTCAAGCTGGCCGCGCCCAGCTACGGCGACCTCAACCACCTGGTGTCCCTGACCATGAGCGGCGTCACCACGTCGCTGCGCTTCCCGGGCCAGCTCAACGCCGACCTGCGCAAGCTGGCCGTGAACATGGTGCCCTTCCCGCGCCTGCACTTCTTCACGCCCGGCTTCGCGCCGCTCACCAGCCGCGGCGGCCGGCAGTACCGCGCGCTCACGGTGGCCGAGCTCACGCAGCAGGTGTTCGACGCGCGCAACGCCATGGCCGCCTGCGACCCGCGCCGCGGCCGCTACCTGACGGTGGCCTGCATCTTCCGCGGCCGCATGTCCACCAGGGAGGTGGACGAGCAGATGCTCAGCGTGCAGACGCGGCACAGCGGCTGCTTTGTGGAGTGGATCCCCAACAACGTCAAGGTGGCCGTGTGCGACATCCCGCCCCCGGGGCTGAGCATGGCCGCCACGTTCATCGGCAACAGCACGGCCGTGCAGGAGCTGCTCGGCCGCGTGGCGGAGCGCTTCTCGGCCATGTTCCGGCGGAGGGCGTTCGTGCACTGGTACACCAGCGAGGGCATGGACGTGGGCGAGTTCGCCGAGGCCGAGAGCGACATCCGCGACCTGGTGTCGGAGTACCAGCAACTGCAAGACGCCAGAGCGGGTCCGGAGGACGACGGGGAGCTCGCGGGGGAGGCGGAGATGGAGCCGGAAGAGGCGCCGCACGAGCCTCGTGGGGCCCTGTGAGGTCGGCAGCAGCCCGGGCCCGCCGGCTCCCCACCGGGTGCACCGCGGCCACCCGGTGTCCACACGCACGCGGGGCGCAGGGACCGGGACCCGGGAGGGAGCTGGGGGCATTGGGGGCCTTCGGGCATTCGCTAACAGTCAAAGACTTCACTATGCGCTGCACGCTCTACTAACTGGTTTTTTTAATTAGCAAAGTGCATTCATCGGGAAGCACAGCGCCTTTGTTTAGCGGAGCTGCTCCGGCAGTGACTGCACGCCCAGCGCTGCGCGTGGCATCAAGAGGACGTGGGCGCAGGGTGCAAGGCTGACGTCCACTCTCCACCCTCTCCTGGCGCTGAGAGCACCCTGGAACCCTCGCGTGGCACCCTTGCTGAGAGTCAAACCCCAGCTTCTGTCGAGTGCGCTGCCCAGCATCCCACCTCCTGATGCTCGCTGGCCTCCTGAAAGCCAGGTGACTAATTGGTACGTGGGGAGCTGTGCGGCCGAGGCAAGTGTGAGTCAGCATCCACTGGTGAATCGTGTAGACCTTGTGGGCATGTCAGCGAACTAACTGGAAAGGGAAAAGGGGTTGGAAAAAGAAAAAGTGGCAGTGCTTTTCACCAAAATACCTGGCCACTCCTGCCCCCACCCGTGATGGGCTAAAGTCACCAAGCCTGATCCTCTGCTCTTTATTTCTGAATAGCCAGCTTTTAGCACAGACGTTTGTGTACCGTAGACCCTGTTTCTAAAGGGTGTTGGATTCTGGGAATTCATTAATCACGATTTTCGGTTTTCCTCGTAAAGACTCTTTCAAAATGCCCTTTTCACTTTCATTCATAAACACCTGGAAGCGCTGGGTAGCCTCAGCTCTTTGGGAAAGGGCACCGGGTGCGCTGGGCAACGATTCAAATGCAGGAATTCGGCCGCTGCTGCATTGTCGCAGTGTCCTTCCTCCTCACGGAGGACGCTGTCTCATTAGGGAACTTTTACAGTTCAAATTAATTTGCAGAAGTTGCCATAAATGTTTGCATGATGACACAGCTTTGACCATTACCCGAGTTTAATCTGCTCACATTACGACAGGACCAGATACACAGGAGTGTAATCAAATCGTCCATAACTTTCTAATTACGGTTTACCTATTTCTGACATACGCACAGCCATGCCTTCCAGGGCCATAAGAGTCTTAATGGCCTTCTAGAATTACCACTGAGCTCTCCATGGGCAGCCGGCAATGGGAAGAGGGTCTGACCCTCCCTGCAGGAAATATTTACTTGCAGGCAACTAGGTGCTTGTCTCCCCAATTCGTGTTTGTAATCTGCAGCAAGGAAGCAGGACGATGGATGACACTGGCTGCTCATTCGAGAAACGTCACTCCACGTGTGCATGGTGAGAAGTGACGAAAATATACAGAGAGAAAATGAGGTCCTCCGTCGGCATCATGACATGCCCCCTATTTACACTTTAGAAAAAAAGTTTTAAACAGATTTTTCTTGTGGCTCAAGCACTAAAAGCAAAAGATTTATTAAGAAAATGTAACTATATACTGTTTGAAGTTCATAATTTCTCAGAAGCTAAAAAGACTTATGACCTTTGATGTTATAAGAATTTACACACGCTTCCTCTAGCACTTTCCTTCTCAAATCTAAAAAGGCAATCAAATGGATACAAGGAAGGATACAGATCTAAATTAAAAAAACCCTGCTGATTTATATTGCTGTCAAGATTTTTGTTTGCTCAATAGTAATTATTAAAGTACAAGGAAATTCAATTTTAAATGGCTAAATTGCTTTATTTCAGACTAAATAAATTCCTTTTCTTGGAGCCTAACCACCCAGACTGATTAATTTGAGTAGTTAAAAATATTTCAAAATGTATCTCACCATCCTACTCTTTTGTATGGTAGAAATAGAACACACACATACAAACAAAAAAACCCACTAGAAACCAAGAGAAATCTGTCCTCTCAGATTTTGAGCCTATTCCTTTAGCGGTATGGTTGCCATGGCGATACTGGTCTTAGTGACAGAGACACGGGATCAGAATCTCAGAGCTTGTCCACTTCCTTCATTTCACACACAAGGACCCTGCACGAGCAGAGATTAATGATCCCTCAAAAATCACTCAACTAGTTAGTGTAATACCCATAGCCGGGTCTGGTCAGGGTCCCCTGGTCGTCTGGACACAGTAGTCTTGCCAGGGGACCAGAAGGCCTTGTTACTGGGAAGTTTACTTTCTCCCAGTATCAGTTCAGGACTTTTAAGCAGAGAGAGAGGCTCAATCTCTGCTGGGCAGTGAACTTGCCTTTTATCTAGTTGCTGTACCCCTTTCCCCATCACCAGCCGTGGCCCTAAGTCTCACCTTAATTACCCTATCTGCTGTCGATGACTTCTCTCTAGTTACCCAGCTGCAAAGAATTTCAGCCCTTTGCCCATCAGCTTTGTTCGTCTATGAAAAAGGCCTGACAGCCTTGAGAGTCACTGATTCCTATCCTTGTAATGAAAGATCCTTCCTAGTACCTTGATCATGGGGACCGCGGTGCCGACGGCTGAGGTGCCCTGATTTTAGAACAGCAGACTGGCCCAGGCCAAGAGCTCCTGGGGGGGCAGCCCTCAAGTGGCTATTGCCCCGTGGTCTGGCTCTCAGACTCCATCCAGGAGCTCCTCCTTGCCTGTCCTGGGCCAAGAATTAAATAAAACCTCCAGGTCAAGTGTCCCAGGGCAGGAAATCGCCTGCAGGAGGCTGAGAACAAAGACATTCTCTCGGGCACCTCCTCAGCACGGCACTGCTTGGGCCCCCAAGCTTATTGTTGGCCCAAGTACCAAGGGGAGAACTGGTGCTGGTATGGAGCTGAACCGTGTCTCAAAATTTCCCGTTCAAATTTATTTCTCCGTTCTCCGGAACAGCTCAGATCCAGCAGCTAACTCTGCAGTGGGTGTCTTACTCAGCGGAGTGCTTCCAAGTTTCAAAGGAAGATAAAAACAAGACACTTGCAACAAGTCTTCACGCCTGAGCATTTAAGGAAGAGAGTCTCTGTGCAAACACCATGGGGCAGCTGCCATCCTCATGCCCGAGACGTGCAGGCAAAAGTCTTAAAGACGGGACTTCAGCGGGGCTGTCAGCTCCAGAAGCAAGGTACTGGGCGGCTCGGCCTGTCTCCCACCTCCCACGGGGAGTGCTCTCAGGACAGAGATTCATTTACAAAACAATGAAGCACATTTCTTGCTGAAACACATTAGTAGTTCTCCACAGGTTTTAAACGTATAATAAAAAATGAAGACCGCAATCTACTATTTTTTTCTTCTAATCTATGCTTTTGGTAATTATTGTCATTTAGGCAAATGGCTAAGCCAGCTGCGCGGGAGAGCCAGGCCGCGGGTACCAAGCCACCCGCCACTTCTGCAAGTTGAAGATAAGGGACAGTGAGAGCCTCAACGAGACGCTAATTTTGTCAAATGATATGAAAAAGAGAACTTTCTATCCTGACACATTTAAAACATCTTTTCTGTTTCCCTCTGCTCACCAGATATTAAACCTGCTTCCCCCAACCTTAAGCAAAGGCAGTTCCTAAGGTCCTAAATCCAGCAGGTGCAGATAGCTCCCGTGAAGAAAAAGTCCAAAGGAAAACAAAAACCAACAGCAAGAGTGAACCATATTTTAATTTATTGGCATTGTCAATCTAGAACAAAACAAGGATTTTTTTCCATGCAGGGAGATCGTTTTCAATCTGTCGTAACCTGGACCCACGCATCTTCACCTTGGAAAATGTAGCATTTCAAGCTTTACCCAGGGTCTAGGAGGAAAGAAAATGCAACAATTGCTAGTCCTTTGTGTTTTCTTAAAAATCCAACATGAACATGGCAATGACTCCCCTGCACTAACTGTGTAATCTAACTCTGGCCTCACTTCACATGGCTCATGTTTGACCCTTGACTCTTGGCTGTAAAAACTGCTGGTTCACGTGCCCGGCCTTAGCTGAACAGGAACTTCTAAGTCGCACCAAGTACTCTCTGGGCAATAAAGAAACTAGTCTGCTTTTTGAAAACACTGAAAGTCCCGTGCTCCAGGGGCGGGAGCATCCCCTGCAGGACAGGGGGAGAGCGGTTTTGTGTTGTTTACTGGAGTGGGATACTACATCCTGACCCCAAGGACATCACAAGGTTGAAGGAGCTCGATGTGGAGTTTGGCTTGGCTCCGCTGCAGGGGCTCCGTGATTTTCTCAGCCAGCTCAGTGTTAAAACCAAACCACCCAACGTAAAACCAGGTCTCATTACTTAGAATGATGAGCTGAGACAGAGCACCTCTAGAAAAAGGGAGACATTCAAAACACCGCATCTTCAGACTCATAATAAAATATTTACTAATTCAAAATGGAAACGAAAAGTGCTTAGGGGAGACAGCTCCAATGAGTAAACCTGCCTATAACCACGAGGTGCTGAAGGATCCATGCTGCTCACATTTCCTTGTCTCTGCAGGTCAGATGCCCTTTTTTTTTTTTTTTTTTTTTAAACAAAACAAGAAAGTGAAATCTGGAAAACACCTCTCTAGTTATTTGCCTTGTTTCTCTTTGAAATAACAATGTCAAGAAAGAGGCTCAGAGATCAAATCACTTTAGTAGTTGGGAGCACGGAGTCTGAACTGATCTACTGTACAAGAGTCTTTTATTGCACTGGACATAACTCTACATGGCTCACATCTCTGGAGAAGTAAAATGAACCAAGCCCTGGGAAAGAACCATAAATTTAGCAGAAACAGTTGTCCCTGCAGGGTCTTGCACATGTTCCTGCTTCATAAAATTGCAGGACCCTTGCCTATGCTTATAGCCCTCACGCTCAGGAAGTAGTCATTTGTGAGGACATTAGCAGATGTGGGGGAAATGAAGATGCAAAGAACTGCAATTTGTCATGCCCCTGAACCGTTATGGAACTCCGACAGCAATGACAGAAAGTGGGGAGTTTATCCTCCGAATTATTTGATGTTGTGCAGACAAATGAAACTGGTTTAATTAAAGTAAGATGGCTTTCCCCCTTAGCACTGCTAAATGAGCTGAAAATCAATGTGCCAATAACTTCTGCTTGTCAGGGCCTGAAACGAGATTCCTTTCTGATGCCTCAGGACTCCTATCACCTGTATGCTTTAAGCCATTACCCACTAACATCTGAATGTACTGATTGACCAAAAAATGGACAGAATTCAAAACCAGAACTGCTTCGTTTTGAAAGTGCTCTAAGAACTTAAGGTGCAAGCTTCTAACAAATCAGTAACTTACAGATTACTCTTTTTTCAGTTTCACAATTTTTACGGTGCTGCCAGAAGTCTTCTCAGCATTTGCTTTGAACTCGGCCTTCAGTGCATCTCTCACTGCTTTTGCACAGATCTGGGAGTACCGGATGTAGCTGGGAGGAAATGAAGATGATATAAAATTAATTATCAATGATCCAGCCAGGCTGGTCGTTGTTACTGGTTTTGTTTTGTTTTTTTCTTTTTCCATATTTTAAATTTTGGTTTGATTGTACATTATCGTGGAATTGGATTTAAAAATGACAAATGCCAGAAGCAATCTACAGAGAGAAAAAGGCCAGAAAAAAAATGTACCAAAGTTTTAGCACGTATTAGAATGGGTCATCTTTGGTTTTTCTTCTTTATACCATCTTCTCTCTTTCATATATGTTAATTTAAAATAAAAGATTCTTAGTGATTCTTAAAAATCTCACAGCACAAGAAAAAGACCAAATGTTGTTATGAGAGGCCGTAAGTACAGTAATAATAAAAATATTACAATTTCTCTACTTAAAATTTTTTCCTTATGCTATTCTTACAAGGTAAAATATATACAATTAAGAAAGAACTACTTTGAATTCAACAGTTCTGATTATTTAAAGGTTTTCTTGAAAAACCTGGACTTTGTTTCCCAAGTCTGCTATTGAAGACACTTCCCAACCAAGGTTTCTAAATAAAACCAAAAAGTCCTTACAGAACATCCTCAATTCTAATAAAATATCTAACAGCCTGCTTCCTGTTTGGTAGATGGACTCCCCACCAACATCTTATTTTCCAAAAAATGTCAGCTCACTTTTTACACTTTTTGAAAACAGGAAGCGGGTGGGAAGTACTACTGTCTATTTTCTCATGTTTCAGATTTGTTTTTTTGGGCCAGAGGCAGGCGTTCCAATGCCTCCCGGGGTGCTGACTAATTGGGCTGACCTTCAAGGCTGCTCGAGCTTTTCCACTACTTCATGCACCTGCAGACACAAGAGGATGAAACCGGGTGCTGATGCTGCCCCACCGACGGCTGGCAGGACGGTCGAGCAGGGCCGCCACACCTGTCCGAGTAGGTGCTTAGGAAATGGTCCCTGTTACCGGACCGTCCACCTTCCACCCGGACAAAACTGTGCTTGACCCCACGAAGGGGCGACTCTAGTCAAGTCACGCGGGGAGCGCCCCAGGGCGAGGCGCATGGCCCAGGAGCTGCACGAAGCCACCAGGTGTGAGGGCGGCGTCCACGGCTCCCCCGTCCCTGGAGATCGTGTCTTCAAACGGGTTCCACGCGTGAGCTTCCGAGGGTCCCCACTGCCCTCTGTGCCGTGCACCGAGACTGTGTGCAGTAACAACGCGTGTGTGTGGGTCACGCAGGCCCGGGCCGGGGTCACGCGTGCAGGGCTCAGCCCCCGGGCTCTGGCGCCCCGTCGGAGCCGGGGGTGGGGGCACCGCATGTGCTGGGCCCACCGCCCACGCGCCGCGCTCTCGAGGCGCCCCCGCCCCCACCCGGCCGTGCGCCGCCATCTTGGGTCCTCGCTCCCCGGACCCCGACCCCCGCCGCGCGCGGCGTGACCTCCGACCCCGGGCCGCGCCGCGGGCTCCCCACAGCCCCGAGGAGGGGGTCTACCTGAGTCCAGCCTGTCGCCAGTAGGCCACCATGATGTCGCGAGGGTGGGGGCGTGGGGTCGAATCACGAGGACGCCTCAATGTCGGCTCGGCGTACGGCCCAGCGGCAGGAAGGTCAGGCCTGGGAACCGGAAGAGGCGGGACTCCGGACCTGCCAATCTCGCCGCCTCTTGCCCCGCCCGCTCTCCCGAGCAGCCCCTGCTGCCCCGCCGCGGAATCGCCCCGACGCCGGGAGCCAATGGGGGCGGGCGGCGGGGGCCTCGGGTACCAATCCCCGCGCGGGCCGGCCGGCCGCGCCCACCGATTGGCTCCGCGGCTGCCCCGAGCGTGTGCCCCTCGGGCTTCCGTAGTAGCCCCGGCGAAGCGGCGGGGCGAGGGGGCAGCTGGGGGCCGCGCGGGGCAGGGTTGTTCCCGCAGCCCGAGGTCATGGCCGCGCCCCGGCGTCGGCGGGGAGCACTTGGCCCCCACCCCCGAGGGGCAGCGGGCAACGGCACAGCCGGCCCAGACAGCGCGCGGGCCTCCAGGGTCACCCGCGACGTGCGACGGCCTGGGCTGGGCGGCACGGGCGGAGGCGGGGGGCGCAGGAGCGCGTGTGTACACAGAAGCTGAGGGCAGGGAACGCTTCGTTACAAGAAGTTTTCAGAAACTAGACACCTAACTCCCACCGTTAATGCTGGGTGGGGTCAGACACCCCACAGGCCGAGTGTAACCTGGAGACCCTGTCCCTGTTCAGCCCCCCCAAAGACATCTGCTTGCCGGCTACGGAGGTTTCAAACTATCAGCTACTTCACTACACTGGAAAATGAAAATTCCTAGAATTTTATTATTAGAGCAGGATAAAAAAAAAATCAAACAGGATAAATAGTTGTTTAGAAATCTTTTTATCATTAGGGCATTACACCTTTTTCAGAACAAGTATAATTTACAGAAATTATACAAAGCAACTTTTTAATCAAAGATCAATATTTCGCTATGTTTTGTTTAATTGAAATGTTATTTCATTTGTAAAAACCATCTCCGGTTACAAAAAATAATCAAAAACCTTATTGGATTGAAGTTGCTTTTACACATGTCCTAAGAAGTCTTAAGCTAAACAACATTTTAAGTAGAAAAACACTAGTGTGCTATACCATTTCTCTGGTTTATGTACATATACTAACTGGTTTCCTTCACAGGAAACCTGATGAGTTTATTACATTAGCACGGTAAGATAAAGGAAAGAGCTAATCACCTTTTAACAAAAAATACTCTGTGTGCAACAACTGCAAGTATCAAAGATAGTCTTTCCCGGTCCATAACTGCTTGCTACACAGTATGAAATACATTTACTGGATTGTTTTCCAGACTGAAGCTGCCCCTTAGCATCCAAAATCGATTTCCCACAAATAAAAGCTGCAAAGCAATTCACATAGTGGTTGGTTTAGGTCAATGCTTTTCTTCTCATTATTATTCCTTTTTTCTTCCCCACCGCCCCCATCCCCCGCAGTTGCACTGTATTATTAAAAACACTAAGTACCTGGGATTTATGCTTCAGAAAGACATCGTTTGAGTAATTTCAAATGACGTACAGCTCTTCATGTGAAAAAAGATGTTTTGTGGTCACAATTACTTCAAAAAGTAATTATATTCAAATAACCTGACATATCATGCTTTAGCAATTACAGAGCCATGATTTTGACACATGGCAATTTATAAGTTAGGCAAATGTGAAATGCTAAAAGATGTGAACAGCTGTTCTTCTGTTTAAGTTTAGAGTGCTGCAAAATCTGGGTAATGACTTTATTTTTTCAGAGAACATCACCAGCCCACGGTATAGCATACTAAGTCATAAAGTACAAATCCAAGGAAGGTAATACCTCTCCTAAGTTACTAAACTTTGGCAAATTAATACAGTACTCTTTTAACAGGCTAAAATCCCTTTTTGCTTGTTTGCTGGAGTCCTGTATTATTTTAGTGATAATTTTCATTTCCAAAAATGTCATTTAAGTACCAAAACAAAAAACACTGTGGTTCTTAAGGGTGGTTTATAGAAGGGCAAATTATTTTATACAAATTAATATGCTTTCTCAAACTAGAATTTCTCCTTTCAGAGAGCATTTCCTCATGCAAGCTCTTGCAGCTTACCATAGCAGGGTAGCTGTAGGTGTTTAGGTGGCTCTGCTTTTTTCTGGGGTTGGTCCAGAGCCAAGCAGAGTTCCAATGCATGAAAAGCTTTACAATTAATTCCACCTTACAGGAGATTTAATACGGCAGTATGATTTTCCAAGTACTTTTCAAAAATTGTTAAATTTTCACATAAATACTGGAATCCTCAAAATCAGCTGGTCATTTCCAACAATACTACTCTCAGACGATCCCGCTTATTTAGAGACCCTGAACCTTCTTTGTTTTAATCAGAAGTCCTACAGCTTTTCTTCGGCTTATTTAAAAACAAACAAAAACAAAACAAAACAAAATAAAAAAAACCCCTCTATCTAAAATACGGTTTTATTTTTTAAATAACAAATAAATACACGGCCAGTTTGCAGAGACCTGGGGGGCAGATGTCGGGCACTGATTTTCATCCTCATTTCTCCACAAACGCCGCTGCTGCCATCGGTGTCCTTATGCTCCCCCTCGCCGAAGCCGTCAATTCTTCAATCTCAGCATTTAATTTATGTATTACCCATTCCATTGCTTCTCGGCCCTTAAAAAAACCCAACACATGTATTGTTACCAAGTGAGAGCAAAGCACATATCAAATAAACAGCACACCAGGAAGTAACAAGGAGCATATACAAGTATAACTAAACCTCGCCAGAATGGATGGTTTCTGTCTTTGTTCTTTCTTTAATATTACTTACCAAATATCAAATGCCTTGGGCAACTGGAAATTGATCTATAAACTCATTTTTATTTTGCACGCAAAAGATGTTCTCAAAATAATCTATAATTCAATGATCGTGACCATTTCATTTCTGATTAGAGTGATCCCTTTTTGGGGGATCAAAAGGTCAAACCCAGTTTTTTGGTTTTGGGGTTTTTTTTTTGGTCCATTATTTTAAAGCAAAGTCCTGTATGAGGCCCTGGAAGATGCAGTCCCTAACTTCCTCTTCAACTGCTCTCTCCTGGTGCTTCATGCAAGTCCTTGAGGAAATAAGAAGCATTTCCTGCTTCCGCTCTCAGGGCCTTTGCACATGCAGCCCCTCTGCTGGAGAGGCTTCCTGGCACACCCCTAACAACCAACACGCCCCTCATTCGGCACTCAACAGAACACTCAAGAAATACTTTTACTGTGTACTTTTCCTTTCCTTTTTAAAAAAAAAAAGATTTTACTTATTATTTGACAGAGAGAGAGACAGCACACAAGCAGGGGGAATGGCAGGCAGAGGGAGAGGGAGAGGGAGAAGCAGCAGGCTTCCCAACAAGTAGGGAGTCCAATGCAGGGCTTGATCCCAGGACCCTGGGATCTAGACCTGAGCGGGAGGCAGACGCCTAACCCACCGAGCCATCCAGGAGCCCCTACTTTTCTTTTTCTAATGATGTAATTAATGCTGCCTTCTTACGGGCTGCCTGGGTGGCTCAGTGGGTTAAGTCTCTTGCCCTCGGCTCAGGTCATGATCTCAGGGTCCTGGGATTGGGCCCTGCATCAGGCTCTCTGTTTAGCAGAGAGCCTGCTTCCCTCTCTCTCTCTCCTGCCTGCCTCTCTGCCTACTTGTGATCTCTCTCTGTCAAATAAATAAAATCTCAAAAAAAAAAAAAAAAAAAAAAGTTGCCTTCTTAATACCATGAGGGCAGTGTTCCCTGCTGTATCCCTAGTCTAGCATAGCACTTTGTCTGGTACAGAGTTGGCATCTGTAAGTATCTTTTGGCTGCTGAATGACTGATCACATTAAACATGTGTTATAATAAGAGTGCGTTAAGAATCTCTTTCTCTAAACTTAAATGGTTTTAAATCATGCATTCTCCAAGGGGCAAAATTAGTTGGGGGTGGGGAGAGGTGGAAAAATCTCACTCTCTTTATGGACATAGTATATTCATCCTTTCATCCATCTATCCATGGTGTTAAAAACTTTTCATGCTGTTAAATATACTTTTCATGGTGGTTGTTAAGAGTAAAAAATGCCTAAAACGAAACTGAGGGTTGCAGGGCAGAGAGGATAATGAAAAAGGTTGAGAACTGGTGTTTTAAGCAGTGGCAATGACATATCACCAAGCACTTCCGACGTGCTGGGCCCTGGGCACATGCATTCCGTATGTTATCTCATTTACTCTTCAGGAGAGATACCAGCCCAACCGCTAAGATGGCTAACTGATCTCCACTTCACAGATGGGAAACTGATGCACAGAAAGGCTAACTTAATTGTCCAAGTTGGAAGGCTGGTAAGAGTTACGGCTTGCGCACAAATCCCGGGGTGCTGGACTGCAAAGCCAGTGCAAGAAACAGCCTAGATGGGTTCTCAGCGCACCGCGGCCGAGAGTCAGTTTGCCAGGACACACATGTTCAGCACTAAGCTCTTTTAAGACAAGAAACCCAGGAGGAAGCATCAGGGAGCAGTGTGACTTACTTTATTAGCGTTTGAAGATATTGTACTTGCCATGAGTCCTTCAAGGTAACTGCTGAGACTGACTCCTTTCACGGTGATTATGGCTTCTTGAGTCAGAACAGTTCTGGAACAGAACCCATTCACACAATTTTGGAATGACCTTTCATTTTTTTAAAGAAATGTATGATTTAAAAAAAACTAAAATACCCTGTAAGTTTTCAAAACATTTTTTACTCACTTTTCTGGGTCCTGAGGATGTGGTTTGTATATAAGTCTCTCATCTACTGAAACCATATTTGTAAATGAAATCTACAAAATGAAAACAAAATAAATCATTTTAGAAACCACAAGGAAAAGCATTTGCAAATTAATTCACAAACCAAAAATCTTGCTAGGTAAATACACAAATAACAAACCACTTTGATATCACTGCAAATACAGAACTTAAATTTCACTATTCACTGCTTCCTTTTTATTATAAAAATAATACATATAACCAAAGCATGACAGCAGTAATATGCACACGATCCCAAATTCATTTTATTGGGTGCTGTCCCCTAGATACAAGAAGTGGCCTCACTGCTCCAGGGAGGAGCTGGAACGAAAAATACAGCATATCACCACTGATTTCTTAAGCTACGCTGAAGAGCCTATATTCACCTGTACATCAACTATAAAAGAGAAAAAAAAATTAAGCTTCTAGTTTAAAATCAAAACAAAAGGGAGCCCACACTTACGTTAGTAGATTTAAGTTCCATTGTCTTCTCTACAGGATCAACTACAGAATGTTCTTGCACGTATGTTTTAGTTCTTGCAGCACCAATGAGCTAAATAAAACATTCACAATTAGTAATCAGAGGAAGAGGGATTTCTTAACAAGTGTATCAATATCTTATATGAAGGTAAAAACGTGTTATTATCTTGAACCAAAAAATCTGTTTCGTAAAAAAAGCAGGAGGAATCAAAGGTCAGAAAGGAGGCCCATTTGAGGGTAACAGGAATTCACACACCACGAATGAGACGAGACTGCCAGATACAAAAACCCTTCCCAGAGGCAGTTAGCGACCAGCCCAGGGGGAAGGCGTGCAGAATAAAGCGTATCCTGAAACTGCCAAGGTGTGACAATGGAGCCCGGAGCCTGAAATGTGGAAATCAGAATATTCGGGTAAACATGGCATCTGGAGAAAGGAGAGGTCCAGAATATGTCAATATTTTCCTAGAGCAGTCTTGAGGGACAGGGTGCTGTGGCCTCGTTCTCCAGACAGACAAACAGCCATCTCGTGATGGGGGATAATAATGCATCCCACCCAGCGTCGCTCCTGTGCCTGAACCCCAGCCAACCTCCCGACCTTGCTCACTTCGGTGTCCCCACTGTCTCACACAGTGGTTTGCGCAAAGGAAGGAATCAGGACGTTCCTGCTGAAAAATGTGTCCTTTAGTTTTCTGAGAGGATGTACCCTCCCCAAGGAGAAAGAAAACTGAGTCTGCTTATCATACCAGAGTCCTTTCACACTGTGATCCTCTGGCACTCCAGTTTCTCGCTGCTTTAACTGGCTCATTAAAGCCTGCTCCCGTGTAACGGAATAGAATTCCTGTTTTTAAATGTATAGGGAGGAGTCTCAGACCTTGGAACAACTTTGGCATAGCAGAGCCTGTGAACACGCTCCTCACTTAGTGTCAGGACCCATCACTGACCGCAGCCACTGTCCGCTAACCATCGCCACCATCCCGTGGCTTCCAGATCTTACTACTGGTCTGGAGTGGCCGGCAGAAGCAGGAGAAGCAGAGCAGAACTCCTTTTAGATTACAGGGCATTAGCTGGCTTCCCTCAGAAGGTTTTATCAGGCGCCTTCGTGAAGACTGTAATAATATTTCCAATTCATTATACACTCATAACTCAAGTTTATTATAATACAATTTGAACTGATGCAAAAATGACATTCAGAATCGGCTCCCACAACCTATTTGAAATTATAATGTGGTTTAGAAAACTTCTCTACAGCAGTCACATTTCCACAGGAGTAAAGACACACTTACAGATTTCACAATGGAAGGCAGTCCCCACTCTGTGCTGAGAAGTCTATGGCTATGCAGCTTTCCAGAGGGATCCACGTGTCTGTCCAGCACATCAACCCCAACCACGCTTGGGTTCATAGGGTTTGGGTATTTCTGCATCGCGGCCGTCGTAACGGTTTCCCACGGGTGGCTGCCAACACGAAGCAAAAACCAAGCATTTGGAAAATACGCACAGAAATGAAACTGGTTTACGACCCACCCAATCATTCTTTACAGCTGAAGTTTGATTAACTTAACTAGGGCAAATTATTTTCTGAAACACTGACTAAAACATGACTTGGGGAGCTCAATTTCCATTTTGAATATGTACAGAATTCAGTATTTTCCCAGCACACAGGCTGTATGGTACAACTGAGGTCTATAAAGATATAAATAGCCTATAACGCATTAGAGTTTCTTAAACAATCTTTCCTATTTACCCACGTTCACTTTCACATGTAAATTTTGTTTCTAAGAATCACTAATTCACAAAAATGCATTTTAAAAAAATATGTTCTATGAAAACAAGCAGAAAAACATTGTTATTACTATGTCCAGCCCCAATTCCATAAAGCTATAAAGATGTAACGAAAGTAAAAGAACTTACAGACACCGTAAATTCTTCTAGGGATTACAAAAAGATCCAAAGTATTATTGATTTAAATACTGTAAATTAAAAATATATATTTTTCTATATTACGGTAATAAATAACAGTGGCCCCTCCAGTCAATCTTTATCCATTGCTCTCCCCAAAGGAGTGATTCTGATTTCTTTTGAAAAGGTCACTCAATACCATGAAGTGTTTTTAAGGCGCTTCTAATATACTCTTTTCTCATATTCTCTCTTAAAATTATCTTCTTGAAAAAGCCCATGTGATGTACATTTGTTCACTTCACAACTTGTGTGAATGAGACGGTGGTACAAAAGCCATCCCTTTCAAAAGAGCCCCTTATTAAGGACAATGAGTATTGGAGGTGACTGAGCCCGCCTGTGGTCTGACGCCACCCAATCTGTGCTCTTGTCTTCGTTGAAAGGAGAAAAGAGATCTGGAGAGAATGTTTCAAACCACACTTACCGATAAACCACACAGCATTACTTATTTTTCTAAAAGCAAAATAGGTAGGCCATTAATCCTGTTCAACTTCTCAGAGAACGAAGCCCAACAACTACTTCTTGCCAACAGAGGGACAATCTCAACACCATTCATTTCCCAGAACCGTGGACAACCAGCGACATTATTTTTAATGCTTTCATTTTCGCTATTACATAAATGAACCTCATTCAGTTTTTAATCTCAAGCCTATTCAGCTATCAATGCAGGTACGTAAGGGAGCTACTCCGTAAATCTGAACACTCCCCACAGACAGAAGTGATACAGGCCGAGCACTCAGACTGTAACCAAGGCAACTATCTAAAATGAAAATCAGATGAACCCTGTCTCTGCCTCCGTCCAGTCATACACTAGTTAGCTGGCTTCCCTGCGCATATCTCTTCCCCTCATCCCCTCTAAAAAATTAATAATTGCACATGGCTTCGGGGTGGGTATGTATTATTTGTAACACAGTCCTTCTCTACTTTGAGCCAACTTGGAAACACTGGTGTTGCGTTAACTTGAACTAAGACTGCTTTATGAAACATAATTAGCTCAAACGTTACAAAGGACGCATGTTAAGAGTCTTCCAGCAAATTAATCTGAACGCTTCACCGGAAGATACTCAGAAGGACACCAAAGGGCAGGCAGAACCTTACCCACCTGTCCAGTATCTTCGCCTGTAAGATGAGGGAGGCGGACATTTAGGTATACTTAACTCCAGCCAGGCAGCAACAACGTCTTGATTGACCTCCCGGTATGTAACCGATCAAAGAAGAGTGGGGGCACACAGTGGGCATTCCTACTTGTTGAAGGAACCAATGAATGGCTTTCCCTGGATGCCGACTATAAGGAGTCCCAGAAGGACGTGCCGAACGTGTATGGGTAAGACAGAGAATGAGGACGTTGATACTGTAGACAGCCGTGTCCTTAAGAAACACTTGGCAACAGTAAGATTTGTGAGGGGAGATGGTCACTTCCATTCCAGGACTGGGTCTCAGGAGCCCACAGGGCATGTGAGCAGAGATGTCTGGTAAGACCTGAAAACTCGGATCTGAGGTTTCAGAGAGGCTGGAGCCCAGGGTAAGATCCGGGCGCCTCAAGTACGCATGTACCAGCTGAAATCCTGACTGAAAAGCCCAGATAACTGGGGGACAATCGGGATCGGGGCTGCCGCTCCCAGGGCACGTGCAGCATTTGTCTGAATATGTCTGTCTCCGAGAGAAGGATCCCAGAGCCTTCATGGGATCTCAGAGAGTCTGTGGCGAAAAGATTAAGAGTCCCTGATGACATTCAAGACAAAGAAGGCCGCTACCAAGATGTCCCTGAACACGGACGCTGAAGGGGAAGAGGGAACGCTGGAGGGAGAGCAGGAGGAAAGTGCCTTAGGGGAGACAAAAGAAGGAGATGCAAAGTTCAAAGAACTTCTGAAGCTGACATCCGGACCGGGCCAGCGAGGGCCAGCGAGGAGCGTCTGTGGGCCCGAGCGCTGAAAGACTGACCAGACAAAGACCGCCGGGGAGACGACAAACTCCCAGAGGCTGTGAGCGCTACGGGAAAAGGAATCTTCCCCCTGACTTTAACGCTCCACGCTTCCCAGGGCCCCGCGGGCTCCTGCGCGAGTCTGAGTCACTAAGTACGCAGGGTTTAAAACGTCCTTTAAAACTGCCCCCAGGAACACGGTTTAAAATAATCAAACGGTGAAACGAAAACACACTGTAAAGCTGCGGAAGTCAGAACGGTGTGGCAACGGCGGCAAGATGGGCGAGCAGGGCGCAGGGCTCGGAAACGGACCCAAACGTCAATCACCCCGGAGCTCGGGCGTTGGGCGACCCCGCGAATCAGCGACAGGAGGGCGGACGGGCCGGTGGGGAGGGCGGCCGTCCGTCCACTGTGAGGACTCGCGGCTCCTTCACGCAAGGATTAGACCAGACACAGCCGCTTACACGCGCGTTCGTTCGCATCCGGAATCACGGACCCGGACGAGGCTCAGTCACCGACACCCAGCCGTAAGGACAACTGTGTCACTAAGAACCCCTCCGACCAAGAGGTGTCACTGAGCGTGGCCGCGAAGCCCTGCTCGGGCCCCCGCACCACCGCCTTCCGCGTCTCCCACGACGGGCAGCCCAAGGTCACTCGGTATGCGGGAGCCGGCGCTGGACCTTGGACTCCCACTGCCACAAGGCTCGGCTCCTCAGGTCACGAACTGCCAGGAAAGTTTCGCGTCCCGGTCGCCCGAGCTCCCCCGGGACGACGCTCCACCCCGAGGCGGCGGGGCGGCCGGACTCCCGACAGCACCCACGCTTCCTGCTCGAATCCGCCGGTCCCCGTCCCACCGGGCTCGGCACGGCCGGGAGGGGCACCAAGGGCCCGTCACACCCCGGGTGCAGTCGAGGACCTCGTGCCGGGCGAGGCCCCCACCAGCCCGGGGACCTCCCCGGGGCCGGCGCGCCAGTGCCCGTGTCCGGACCCCCTCCCGGCCCCGGCGGCGGCGAGGCCGGAAGTCCCGGGCTCTCTCCACCGCGGGGGCCGCAGCCCTCGAGTCCCCGCCCACCCGGGCTCCGTGGGACTCAGGCCCAGCTCCCCCCGCCACTGGGCCCGACGCCTGGAAGCTTCCTGAGGGGCGCCCCGGCCTCACCACCACTCCGGGCCCGAACTGCCCGTGCGCATCGCCGACCCGTCCCACGCCCCAAACTTACTCAAAGACGTGCTCCGAAGTCCAGATCTTCATGGTGCCGGCAGCCTGCGCGGAGTCCCGCCGGCGCTAAGGGACAATAAGGCAGAAAAGCCACACTTGCCCCCGCCCCGCCCCCCCAGACACCCCGTCGGCCGCGCAGCGCGCACGCGCCGTCGGGCCCGACGCGAGGGACGTCCCGACGCGCTGCCCCACGCCCTATCCCGGCCCGGGTTTTGCCCCAGCCTAGCGCGCGGCGCAACGAAACCCCGCCCCTTAGCGCCGGGCGCAACGCGCCGGCGCAGTTCCGGGGCAGCGCCCGGGGCCGCCGGCGTGGGCGCTGTGCTGCGCAGGCGCGGCACGCGGCCGGCTGTTCGCCCCCTCGCGGGCGGCGCCGGGAGCGCTGACCTCTGCACAGAGTTGGGTCGGGCCCAGAGGGTTCCTGGGCGTACTGGCCATGCTTCGCTCGCGTGCTAGTTCCCTTGCGCTGCCAGGCCTGTAGGCCCGCCTACACGGACAGCACTGTGCTGTGTAGTTGAGCAGATGTTCATGGCGCCTTCTTAGAACATTCCTAGAACTCTGAACATGGACTGTGGGTCCCCAAATATATCCAAGGAACCAACCAACCAGCCACTGCCCGTCTCTACCCGGACTGTGGAAGCCCCAAGTCATCAACCAACCAGCCACCGCCTGTCTCTGTTGAGATGGTGGGGGTCGCCAAGTCATCCAACCAGCCAGCCTCCTCCTGTCTCAGCCTGGACTGTGGGGACCCCGAAGTCATCCAACCAACCAGCCAACCAGCTCTGTGCTCATTCCTCTTATCTCCCAGCAATTACGACTCTGGGTGGGTGGAAGACGTAGACACACAGAAACTAACACCAGGCTGTGTGACCCATGCCCGAATGAAGGGTGTATTTAGGAAGCTTGGGTACTAGTTGGAACAGAAGGGAAAACATGGCCCTGAGTTCGTAGATGGGTCTTATCTCAGACGTCACCCCTGAGAGCGAGCTCCCCCCATCACTCTTCCTTAGCCATCCTCCAACCCCTAGATCTTCCATCACAACATTCCACTGCATTTTTTTCTTAGCAGGCATCACTCTCTGAGATTCTTACTTGTTTAACTTCCACTTGAATGTACGTCCCTGAAGGCAAGGATCTTTCCTGTTTGCCCAATAAATGATTTTCAGTACCTGGTAAATAGTAAAGGTTCAGTAATTATTTATTGAAAAATAAAATAATTATTTGTGGAATGAATGAATTACTGAAATCACATATTTATCTGTTTTAACTTCTACTGGAATGCAAGCCCTCAAGGGTGAGGCTCTTGCCAGACTTGTTCAATGACTGCGGTGCCTACGTAATTATTGGCTGCGTAAGTGAGTGAATGACTAAGAACTGAGGGGCAGGCAGGAATGCCACGTGACACCGTATGCAGGTTAGCCTTGTCCAGTGGACAAAGTGCAGGGCCTAGTTTTCAACTTAAGCCCTCCCTCCCCTCCTCCCCCTCCGGTCCCTGTCCCTGTCCCTAGCAGAACAATTTGCCATTTTAAATGATGGCTGTGGAACAAAATCTTTACCTCTGGTTACTTAGAAGCCAGTTAGAGGCACTGCCTCATTCTGGTTCCTAGCTCCTTCGATTGTTAAAAACAAACAAAAGCCAGGTTAATTTAGAAAGGAGGATAATTTTTTAAAAATAGCTGAAGCCCTTTATATAGAAAAACAGAAAAATTACATTAGGCAGAAAGGAAATAATATGGTTGGGTAGTTGCAAAGTGCAATTTGTGGTACCTAGGACTTTAAAAAAAAAAAAAAGCCCTGTGAAAGTTGGAGTGAATTCTTGGGGAGGTAATGCTTTAAAG